CACCACATCACGACCACCGCAAATCCTGGAACATCATGGTGCACGTCCCGATTTCATTTCGTCCAATTGAAACATCAAATGTATATATTAAAACAGGTCGCAAATTGAAATAGAGAGAAAGATCTATTTGCATCCGTTAATTAAAGGAGAGCTCTCGTATTTACCACGGAACGTCAATATTTAAGTTTCGCAACGGATTTTTTTTAATGAAATCTCGCAGCTGGATTGAATGATAGAGAGAGAGAGACAATCCGCGCGTTGTTAATTTTAGCGCCGACCGCTATTTTTAAACTCGCGGAAAGAATGTAAGCTGTAACGCGATTAATTAATTAAGTGAGATTAAAGACCGGTCGAAGGAATGAGGCGAAAATAAATAAAATGTAAAAACGACGTGTTTTACTTGTATCTTGGCAGAGCGTGTTTCAGTAATATTTCATGATGAAAGTAAAATTTTCGGTCTATGCTAATGGAGCCAGGAAGTTGGCGCGCTTTTTTCTTTTCTTTATTTTTTTTCTCTCTCCCCTCAGAAGTGCGATATTGTAATTGCTCGTGGTGCAATTAAACGCGAAAAGATTTAATTAGATTTTATAATTAGTTTTACTTTAAACGGTTTCGAAACGTAATAACCGCAACTCGATTTATGAATAGAGCTCAGCGGCAGCAGCATGTGTTGGTTGGTTGTTGAAGTTGGTGAAGTGTGAAATGGAGCGAGCGTTCGTGTGGGATTGAGAGAGAGATATGATGAGAAAGAGAGATAGAGTTGCCACGTATACGGAATAGAGCCGATACATAGAGAGAGGATCTATATAGAGTGTTTGCGGCTGTAGTTCATAGAATGGCTGTATAGTTTAGTGAGGTATGGTTTCAGCAAAATATAAATTGCTCACGGGTCAAAGTTGCGCGCTTATAGGTAACGCTCTTGCCGTATGGAATGTCCGCCTTGTGTACAGTTATTCCAGTTATTTCATCATGGCATTGCTGATTGCTACCTCTCTCTCATTCTATCTCCGACCTCTCCGCATTCCGCGCAAACAAACGAATAACAATAACCGAAAAGAAACCAAAGACAGGGTTTGATTCTAACAACCCCTGTTCATATTTCACTCGCTCCAATTGAGTTATTTTCCTTCTTTAGGTTCATCTTCTGTCCGTTCGAACGTACGTACATGCCATTCCTCCTCCTTGTGCAGGGGCATTTTCATCCGCAAAAAGTTTCCACTTAATGAACATAGTTTCACGCTGCAGCCGGTTTAATTACAGCGTTTTAATGGTTTTCGAAAAGTTTGCGTTTCATCGCCGAAACCAAATAACCTCTTTGTCCTTATATCCATCCACTCTGCTATGAACATGCGGTCGTTTCTAACCGAAATTTGCAAATACACGTAGATGCATATTCAACCGCACTTTTCTTTTCACATACCATTGTTTTGCCTTTTTATACGTTTTCAACGATTTAAATATTTAATTGCGTGAATAATGAAATTGTTACAATGCATTGAATTCCTGTTTGTATGCAAATTCCGTGTGACCTTGCACAACTATTAGTTGAATATTTATGATCGTTTTATATCTAATTAATTATTATATGACAACATCATTAATTCTGATATTATTTATAATAGAACCTTATGAGTAACAGATATTATTTATACTAAATTAAAAAATCAAGATTTATTAAACTTTTTCATAATATTTACAGTTTTTTTTTTACAAATAGTATTAACTTTCACAAAAGTTTACAAATTTGGACAATCCAAATATATTCACTTAATACTAACAATTATTAGAGATTCTATAAGCATAAAATCAAGTTGTAAAATTAAAGAAGAAACGATTGTCCAAAAACAATACACAAACAATTACTAATTTATCTATAAAATCCATAATCTTTATGAGGAGGAAGACAATATAGTAATTTAAATAAATCATGTGGAATAACACCATTTGTCTAATGAAAAAAACCTTGACAGACGGTATTTTTTTTTTTCACTGTTGCTATTTATCATTCTCTCGACTATAATATATACACTATGTGTTTATGGTTTATACGTTTTTTCTCTCTTTCTCTCCGCTTACATTACGCAATTATTTCTAGAATTCGTTTAATTGCCGATTAAATGAATAATAAACGTGCAAAAATAGAATTCTGGTTTGCGTATGTTAATGATCGGCTGATTCATAAAAGCGCATTCGAATTAATTATATGTTATTATTGCCATTTATTTTTTTTCTTCTCCGTTTCCTTTTCTTACATGAATTGGATTTTCTGATTTATTTCAATAAATACGTCGTTAAAAACAGTCTCATTATTAGCAATAAAAACATTTTTTTTATTATATGCCAAAAACTCTAACCATACTTAACCTAACCTATATTTTCTGATTCATAATATTTTAGTATTTAAGCACTACCCTTGCTTATGTACCCTTGTATACTACTGTATCTCTTTTGATTCAATCAAGGGGTTATCGGCTCCCACAATTTTTTGTTGATTTTCATATACTACTGTTATATTACAACATATATTATAATTAATGTGTGTCAATAAAATGATAGATGAATGTAATTCATAAATAAAAGAAACAATGTAAATTCTTGGAACTGATTGAATATACAAAGTTCTATATTAAATAAACAATAAATTACATCATTCATGTAGTCAAAGATCGTTGGAACTAATCCAGAATGAATAATGGATAACTTTAGTTGTATATTTCTTAGTATTAAGTTTTTGCAACGTTCTTTCTTATTCATCTAAAACAACACAAAATTGAGTCTCGAAAATAACAGCTGTTGACATGTCTTAATACAGGATGACTTACGAATTAGTTCCGTTCCAAAAAGTTGTTCGTAAGTCGAATTTGTTCGTATGTGGGAAAAATATACAAAATATACTTATCTTACCACACTTTAGCATTTACTTTTATTTTTTTATCATCCTTTTTATTCACTACTGTTCTATAATAAAAACTTTCACTAAATGATCTGGCGGTTGACAAGATTTGAATTGGACATCCTTCACTTATTGGTTATTTGTTGAATATCAAGTGTAGATCCAGTGACTTGTGTCGCTTCAGTCGCTGTGTTGTTAGGCTATTGTCCAGAAGATTGAAAGCTAGTACATTTGGATGTCTGTCTAGTCTATTTTGGTATCGACTACTGTTTTTCGTAATTGTCTCCTCTACTGTTTCCATTTGAAGGTCCTCGTGAATTCTCCTGTTTGTAATATACCATGGAGCACCAACGATCCTTCTTAGACTGGAATCTTTGTATGGTCGTAATATTAGATCTGCTGCTGACTGGGGACTCAGTATTCCGTATATCCAGACAGTTTTTAAAATTACTTTATAGATCAACAACTTGTTTTCTTTCGAAATTGTCGAGTCTTCCAGTAATAGCCAGTAGAGTTTCCTGAACCTAATTTTGAGTTGTTCGCATTTTGCTTGGATGTGATCCTTCCAGGTCAATCTTCTATCCAGATGCATACCCAGATATTTAACTTTATTAGCCATCAGTATTATTTTTGCGTTAAGCGTCAGTGGTGGGCAGGAGTACTTTCTCATGGTGAAGGTGACATGTACTGATTTCGATTCATTGACCTTCATTCTCCACTTTTGTAACCATTCCTGTATAAGGTCCAGGTTTACTTGCAGGTGATGTGATGCAACTGCTGGGTCTGCATCAGATGATAATATTGTAGCAAATATACTTATCTTACCACACTTTATCTTACTTACGAATACTTTTTAATGTAAACATCACAATTATTTAATGAAAAATGACAAAAGAAACAAATGCAACAAAACAGATACTACATCTTCCAAAAATATTATATTTTACTAAAGAAATTATCAATTTTTGTTAACAAGTTAGAAAGTCCGGAAGTTCGTATGTCAGGATACCTGTAATATGTAAAAGGAAAATGATAATCAATACCTTAATCGAAATCTTATGTGAAAAAAGTTATTCATTAATATGAATAGAAATTGGAAGACTTTGATTCAATCTTTAGGATTTTTAAATTCTACACAATAAATATATATAAATATAATAGAAAAGTGTAAATCTATAGCAATTTGGTAATTCCTGATGTATATCATTCATCTAAAAGGAATTGAGTTGAGTATCGTTAAAAATTTCCAAATGCCAATGAAATGTTTGTGTGTAATATGCAAATATTTTATGAATAAAAAAAAAGTAATAAAACAACTTTAATGCGTTTATTGATTCCTGATTAATTATTCGACTATATTAAATATTTCGACAAAAAAAAAAGATAAAATGTTTTAATTTATCGTGATGTAACGTTTTAAAAAAACATATTTCCATGTATATTTTATTAATATCAAATGGGAGAATGTTTATGAATAATTGAAATTTAAAATTAATAATGCATTAAAGTTTATTGGCATAAATATATGCATTACATATGCACAAAACGCTAATTTAATTGTGGAGTTGTACATTATAACATAAAATAACGATATTGCAAATGCAATAAATATGCATTCGTGTAATTAGAGCAAAAAAAAAACGATGCACGAAAATAAATTGTAATTAATTGCATTTGAAATGCAACAGGAGTTTGTATTTGTAGATGAGAAAAATTGTCGTGTATTATTATTATAGAGATCTGAAGTGGTTGAACATTTTAATTAGTTTTTCTGATGCGGACGCCCGGAAATCGAGAGCACATCGAATATTTAATGAATATCAAACAGAAAGTGCAATCAATTTTCCCCCTGGCTGAGCTTTGGCGTTGTTTTTCCCTTTTTTCACGTTATTAAAGCCCGGCTTTCCGGAGGGTTTGCAAAAAAAATATAAAAGAAGGAAACGCGAGAGCAAAGGAGGAAGTTGTAGGAGGGTGAGTTTGAAGGATAAAAAGAAGCGGGAATCCCCGTAGGGATTAATAATTCAGGAAGTTCAAACGCATCGCAATTAAACTTCTTTTTCTCTTCTTTACGCACTTAATTTATTTATGTTTTTTTCTTCTCTTTTATTTCCACGAAGGACCTGACTGTTACTGATGACACCGTGTTGGAGGACCACAACGAGGATCCTGCTCTTGTGCAGATGCGGCTCATCGGAGATGGAGGTGAGTCAGAATCTTCAACAAATCCATTTTAACATTCAAGTGTATGATTGCAACAGTTTTTGTTGAACCACTCTCGTATTAAAAGCGTGCACGTCTGGGAAAACTTGGGGGGAAAGCAGGTCTCCGAAAATAGAAAACCGCTCTCGTGACGATCAACAGTTTCGCCTCGGATTTCCAATAAGCGAATCGATAAAGAATTTGCAACGTATATGGGTCGACTTACGAATTTCACTGGAGATTTTTTTTATATATTAAGATCAGATCATCGTTTGGTTTGCAAAAAACGTCGAATGTTGCGAAATTGTTGTAGAATAATTTATTAATCCTCTAGATTATCGTTGACATTTACCATATTCCCATAAGAAACAGATTTTTTTTTACAATTTCCGTGTAACATTTGCATAATTTAAAGAGATATTCAATATAAAAATCTACTATAAAAGCCAACTGGTTTTAGTCGTAAAAATTGAACTTTCTTCTTCAATTATCGGCTATATTTCAATCCCAGATTGTATGCCAGTTGCACGATTGATCTACTTCTTGAAGTTATACTATTTAAATTAATTAAAGTAATTTAATCTTCATTTAATTCCGGATTGGATGCTTTTTATTTTTAATGTTCTTTAATATATAGAAGTAATATGAAAAGCGATGATTCATTTTTAACATCGAGTGATGTCTAGAACTATCAACACTAATTGTGATACAGACTTGAAAGACTTGATGAACCTCTATCGGTGTAGGAAATGTGATAGCCCCGTAATTCTTGAAGAAGCAACTCGAGCGTGCTTTCATTATATTAATGAAGAAGAGAAAAAGAAATGTGACGATAAGAAGATCAAGTAGCGAGAGTTCATCAGTTGGTGCGACCTTCGATAACCTTGCAAACGCGTCTATTGATGGTTTATTATCAATACGTTGTTTTGTTTACCCCCCTTCGAAACACGCCTCACCGCCAACGTCGACCCGAACCATTTTTGTTTCGTAATAAATATGCATGCATGCATTTAGCCTGGCTAACCGTATCCCCCCGCCTACTACCTCTCCGCCACCACCGACGCCGCCCGCCACACAGTTGCAGTTTTCGTTGTTTTTGTTGTTGCGATGGGCGGCTGCGCCGTCGTTTTGTGGAAAGTCATTGGACTGGTCTTTGCGCTCTCGCCGCCCCCTCCGCCTCCGCCATTTAATCGATCCATTAAATTCCACATAATGCAAATACTGCGAGAGAGAGAGAGAGGAGTTCCGTTATTATAATTACCGAAAATCCCGTCAACCCCCGTGCGCGCACACCCACACAAGCTGAACACCAACATACCCCAGCCATCATTAAAACATTAAAAAGCGCGCGCCAAACCCCTAAACTCTCCTCCTCTCATGCTTTCCGGTGTATCGATTCGGGAAAGGGCTCGTTTCGCAAAGGGGGCGGTTGTTCGCACGGTAAACAACAGCGAAAAAGAGGAAACGAGTGAATCCCCCCTCGGTCGTCGCGTGATCAACAGGGAACAAACAACAAGACGTCCCAAGGACGGACGGAACTTTAGTGTGTTGTACAGTCCCTTTTCAGTATTCCCATGCGGCATTCCGTGCGTGGCGGAAGGAAAAACACGGAATTGCGCCATTAAAATTGTAATCGCGTTGCCCTAGGTTCTGCTTTCCTCTCTCTATCAAATCCGACGCCGCCTGTGACTTTGGTTTCACCTTCAGCGCGATCCTCCTCCTTCGCTTTCCTATATTTAATTCACTCGGAAATCGGATACCATCATCTCCATTATACATTTTTCACCCTTCAAAGGACAGGACCCCTTTTGTTGTAAATTGATTCGCTGCACGTGGCCGCCCACCTTCCTTCTTGCAAATCTAATTATTTCTTTTCTTTCTCTCTTCATCTTATTCTTTTTGAATTTAAAAAAAAAATCGTTTTTGATGATAGCATCGGAAATGACCAACCTCTGTCGCTCGAGGATTGAATGATTGCAATGCGCTGGCTTCCCCAGTGCCACGCATAGTTAATCGATATATATGTTGCCCAAACCATGCACGAGGTATATGGAATTACAATTCATAATCTAAATTCCATTCAGCAGACACGTACACACCCTAGGTTAGTATTAACCCAATATGCTTTACCCATGACGATTTTCGGATCAACGCCGTTCTCAATGCATAGTTTACACTAATTGCTCGAAGTTATGCCAATTCATACTCATTAAGTTGATTCCATTTTTATTTTCACATTAATCCTTCGTAATTAATTTTTCATAATTTCTGTAAAGTAGATAATAAAAATTAAAAAAAATAATGGAAAGTGCAGTTATTAATAAATGTTGCTACATGTATTGAATATTTTGTCTAAATTTAAATGATAGTTCTCGTTTTATTTATGTAAATAGCATCGTTATTTACATTTCCAAATTCTACGTGAACACCGGTCGGTCAGATGACTTCATAGCGTATTCCGTATTGTGTGTGTGTGCCGCGTGTAATAGTTTATTTCCATGGAAATTTGCATTGTAACGTCCATTTTAGTACGAACCCAAACATGGAAATACCTGTTTTGAATAGGAGAAACAAAATCTGATAGAGCGCGTTGTAGTAGGTTGTATTTTTTTTTTTAGATTGTATATTTTTTGTTTGTTCAGGTTTTATATATTACCAGTGTTTCAAGCTTTATTTATGGTCCGAAACTGGCTGCAACGCATAGTCGAAATTCCGCTCGATGGGGCACAGTTTAACCCCAACCGGTTAGTGTGTACATTAACCCTTTCCGTACGCACGACTCAGTTAGTAAACTAGAATAATTGCATTTTACACGCGAACCTCTGGAAACCTATTTCCGTTCGATTGTTTGCATATACAGGATACGAAATTGTAGCCAGATGGCTGAAGTCTAATCGTCGGCAAATGCCCGTCTATTTATCCTCCTTTCCTCCTCCTCTTCTCCTCCATATTAATACTTGTGTATTTCTTTTCATCCATCGTCCGCATGCATTGTACTTTCCCGTGTCGCCAAGAACTTTCCGAGAATCGCTCCGACTACCAGCATTAATCACCAATGCAATAATAACTTAATTTTACAGTCGATAACGGCTCCGGGTTATTGACATTCAAGCACGTACTTAAGACATACACTCTCTTGTTGCGTCGGACGTCGATCTTTCGAAAGGGAGAAAACAATAGAGAAGAAAAGAGAAGGATTGGCAAACGAAAAAATAGTTATTTCTCAAATGCAATAAGAAAAATAGGAAGAAAGTGAACGCATCGAGAGGGAATTATAAAGAGAATACATGAAAAAGTTGGTATTTGCATGCGAAATTGTCGCTCTCTAAATATAGAACGCACTTACGCATTTCATAAATTATGTAAGAATGTAAATCGGTTGCTGCGAGTGTTCGCTTACGCTGTCTGTGGTGGTGGCCCATCGCATTCCGCCTCGTTTCGCCATTCACGTTCGCTGCTTTTCATTTTTATTTTACAAACGTAATGATTGATTAATTCATGCTATTCATAAAAATCGGTATAATTTATAATTTATATTGATGAAATGCTCACAGTTTATGTAAATACATTTTTTATACTATTGTATAAAGCAGTGTTTCTTAAAATGTTTGCCTTTGTAATTCGCAAGACTTTATCGTAATTAGTAAATTAACTTACTGATGTGCGAAGCAATGAAAACCGTTAATTATAAAAATATCAAAATAGAAAAAAAAGACATGGTTATTAATAGCTTCAAATTGGTGAGCAAATAAAGAAAAAAAAAAGCAGCAAATATAAAATACAGTTTTGACTTTCATTTAACCTTAAACTCTTCCTGCACTCGCCGCTAAACGAATTCATTAGCACATTTTAATTTTAATTAGAAGATTTCATAACTTCCAATGCAAACAACAAATACAAAAAAAAAGTCGAACATGGAATATACAGTTTAATTTACTTTAAAACGATTTGATTGGTTGAAGGAATATATTTATATATATACACTCTCGTAAAGGAAATCAATGGCGATGCAATTTAAATATTGAGCAAGGAGCAAAGAGAAAGAAGCAAAAACGGTGGAATACGAATCGTTGCGGCGAATTCCTGCCGAACGTTTCTCTTGACTTTCATTTAACCTTCGCATCTTCCTGCGCTTCACGAGAGCAGGTCGAACGGTTTAATTAGTGCTATTGCAATTATGTTATATTCAATTAGTGCGTTGCCTAATGGATTCAGAATTTAAAAAAAGAGTGTGTGTGTTTGTGGGTTATTAAAAAGAAGATTAATTAGGTTTAATTCCCTACGGTTAAATATTAATTTTGCAATTTGGGACAAATAGAATTGCAGTCTGGTATAACTTTGTGCAACTTGGAACAACTGTAGTATTACTTTATAGAAATGGGATAACTTGGGACAACTAAAATTGTATTGTGTTAGAATACAAGAAACTTTACCATTTTGAGAGGAATAGAATTTGTACACTAATAAAACTTTTCCAATACAAGATACATTTACAGACAGATTTATTCTCTACAATAACTTTAGTAATTCGTATATTGATGGCGTAATAGTTGATGGCAAGTTAAGACTAAAACTTATTAAAAAGTAAAGATTCTAATTAAATTTCTATTTCGTCATTTTGAAACGGTACAATTTATAATGAACCGGGATTATTTCTGTACATATATATTTTTTATCTTCAAATTAATTATTTAAATTATTTCCTTCTCTCTACATATAATTTTTTTTTCACCTCCGGCTGTTCTGCAGTTGTTTTCGATTTGCGTAGGCCGCCGACCAATTCAGAAGTTATAAATATTTGTTTTGACGCGTCTCATCACATTCAATCTCTTATTTTTTCGTCTCTCTCTCTCTATCTGTTTTCTCTCATCTCTCACCGACGAAATCGCAGAACCGATAAATGCATATCAAGTCTCCGGCTCCCCTGGGTGACGCAACGGATATGCCAATAACCTTAACACTTAGAAAGTAGTGTATCTATCGTGACTGTGTTTCCCAGCCGAGCGCATTCATTTCATTTTTCTTTAATTAACCCGCGCCGCGCTAATTAATAAATTGAATCAATTACGGTAAACCGTATGTATAAATAATTAGAGACAGTAATTAGCATGCGATTCGGTGCGCGGAGCCGGTGACCTAAACTGTTCGCCAATCCTGTTCGAATTCGAAGCAATTATCAAAGTTGAAGTACAAGTCGCCGCACGTTTCCTTACGAATTACATAAACGAAGTCGAGTTTGACAAACCGCACGATAACTGCGGCTCTTCCGGTGAAACAATTAAAGTTTGTGTCTGAGGAAGAAGGGGGGACAGGACGTTGGCTACGGGTAGTCCCGATTGCCACGGGAAGTTTTCAACGAGTCAGATCGTTACATGCTCGTTCCCATGGAATCCGATATCGATAATATCGTTCTCATTTTAATCGACGATTTAATTGCTTCGGATCCGTCGAATTAGTATAAATTATTCATTAATGAGCGTACAATTAATGCTGTATGCGATTGTCTATATCCTCTTGTTTTACATCAACCATTAATTAATGTTACATTCAGTTTATTTTTTCGTATTTTGATTATCTAATATTCATTAGCTCTACACCAGTGATTCCCAAAGTGGTCTATATCGACCCCCAGAGGTCTGTGACAACCTGCAAGGGGTCTACGTCAATGAAAAAAAATTTGGGGGTCCATGAAATGAAAATGGGGGTCCACAATGGGGGAAAATTAAAATCCCGACAATCAAAATCCCGACATTCAAAATTCCGACGTTCGAAATCCCGACTGTATCGAAACAACGACATTCGAAATTCCGACTATATCAAAATTCGGACTGTATGGAAATCCCGACTATATCGAAATCCCGACTGTATCGAAATCCCGACAGTGTCTTTTATTATAAATGATCGCCAAAACAGAACATTAATGAGTTATCTTCGCTGAATAGCTCATAGTGTTTCATTATAATTATTTTATTCATTTATGTATTATAATAAAGATAATTTTAAAAATTCATCGCTCGAGTTTTTTATTTTTAGAATATAACGGGGGGAGTAGAGATTATTAATTGTTGTTATTTATTGTATTTGATTTCATTGAATTATTCATAATAATTTATTGTTATTAATATTAAATAATAGTTAAATAATAATAGTTGGTGACTACGTTTCGGAATCATTTAAAAATGTTATTGTATACATTATAATAATAAAAGACACTGTCGGGATTTCGATACAATCGGAATGTCGGTTGTCGGGCTTTCGATATAGACCAGCATACATTGAACTTGTAAAAACCTACACATAATGATATACCATTATCATCTTGTTGCAAGCATACGCACAGTCTCAGAGCAAAGATCTTAATAATTATAAAGATCTAGGGGTCTATCAAAAACCGAAAAACATGGCAAGGGGTCTACAACACAAAAAAGTTTGAGAACCTCTGCTCTACACTATTTTCGTTTTGCGCCGGTTCGATTTACGCCGATTCACAATAACGCTGATTTTACACTTATATAGAACTATATAACCTATAGTTACCTAACTGTAAGTATGGGTTCATTTTACGCCGATTCGATTTGCGACGGCTTTTGTAGGAACGAAACCCCGGTGTAAAACGACAACAATTATTTTCGTATTCTGTCAAGATTTGCATACAAAACGGTTTACTTATAATTGCAACTCGCACTAATATTTATACAAGTTACATAACAAGATTTACACAGTATAATTTGTATCAACGATAATTTGTAGGATCGGCTATATTTGATATCGTATTTCACTTACTACTTGATTAATTTATTGTTGAATAGCGTAATTCTTCGAAAATTCGTATCCTCCTGAAGGCAAGACCGTAATTCAGTTAAATCATATTACGAACCGGCCGGAGAGGGATGATAGGCGCAAAAAGGGTGAAAGAGAATAATAAATGCGACGAACAAAAGGAAAATGTAATAACTGCGATTACGTGGAAAGAGGTTGTTTAGATTAGAATTCGATGGTCGTGTATAGAGAATATAAGGGAGATAAAATTGCACGAGGTTGTGCGTTTCCAAGGGGGAATCCTCTCCCCCCATATACAACGAAAGAACAATTTCGCATGAAATACGACGTGCTGTTATTAAAGGAACGTTTGCGAGTCGGCAGTGTGAATGTGTGTGTTTTTTTTTCATCTCCCCCTTTTGGAGCCATTGTTTTCCCCGTAGTCGCCCTTCACTTAATTTTTATTTAGTCCCTTTTTCTCGTTCGCTCCACGTCGGAGCGAATTGCAAAA